TTCAGTCCCCTGAAAGTGCTACACCATGGCTGGGTTCAGACATCACAGCAAGCGACTGTGGTTACCACTGTTCATGGTGTTTACCTTGATGCGCCTGTCAGATGATCAGGCTCACGGTGGTAACTCTCCTTTCCCTCCCAGTCCTCCAGGTGGTATTCCAAGAGACAATGTAGGGAGGAATGAAGCACCCTCTTCTCCTTGACAGCTGCAGTTGTGCATTGGATTTTCAGGGCTTGTGGTCCAAAGCAGAACAGAGAAGGTGGGGAAGCTGATGAGGCAGCCTTACCTCATGCTCCAGAGGGGACAGTGGGAAGGGAGGGGGTGCATGGTCCACACTCAGGCAAAAGAGGGGCAAATCAGTTGGGTGGCCCTGTGGAATGGAGCAGTGCAAGCAGAAAGGGGGAGAACCAGCTGGGGTCAGCCGGGCTCATCCCCCTTTGGCTTAGAAGACTGGCATCCTCCTTCTGGTCCCCACCTGAGAGCCTTTCTCAAAAGGGTCGGTGGAGCTCTCTGGCTACCCTCTAGACAAGAGTGGCAACGCTCCACTCCTTCCAACTGGCCACCTGGTTCTGGCCTTGGTACTATGTTGAGTTGAGTCTTCTGGGTTTGGCCCTCTCAGCAATTCATTCTGGTACCAGGAAACCACAGAATGTACCACTGTTTCTGTGCATGGTTTCAACAAGCCAAATGTACCACACTGAGATACCTTGATGAGGTTTGGAGGACATGAGAGAGCAACAGTGGGTGAAAGCCACTGTGGCTTGTCGTGTCATGTGGACCTGCCCAGAGAATCAGAAGACCTGGCTGAGTGAAGTGTGGTGGGTTGTGCCTGTGTGTGAATCGTGTTGTGCAGGTATGCAGAAGCCTTCTCTTCCTTTCAAAGGCTGATCTTGGATCCAATGTATTGTTAAATGTCAAAATAATCTGCTTGGAGGATTTGTTGCCATAATGGAAGATGTGGGGGTAAGGAATGGAAAAGGTCTCCCAGTGCCCTGGTTTCACGGGGACATACATGAAGAGATGTCCAGGAGAAGGGAGTGGCAAAAAAGACCAGATTTCTACTTTAAGATGAGGCTCATTGGGAGCACATGCTTGTTTTAAGGGCAAATCATGATCCATGAAGAGCTAGAAGAATACAGTTTGCAAAATAAGAAGGTGAGCACTCACTACACACCTTATGTCACAGCAGAAGTGCACGATGTGGCATCCATAATGCAGGCTGGGGACAGGTCCAAGCAGCCTTCAACCCATGTTCTGCCCAGCTGAATACACAGAAAATAATTCATTTGGAAAATACGTTGTTTATCTAGAGAGATTCAAGGACTCTCTTTCTCTAGTTTGCTAAACAAAGCTGCAAAATGTTGCTTGAGAATAATACATCCTCAAGATCCTGCACCCAAATGATGGATTTGCTTGTTTCCTGGATGTCCCGAGAGAAGATATTCTTGGCATCCTCAGTTTGTTAATAGGTACAGTCTTGAGACATCTCACTGGGCTGTCGATTAGTTGAATCAGAAAACCATGAAGCTTCTTTTGAGAAGAACATCACACATCAGCCCAGGACAAGTGCCCCGCTCACATACAGTTGCTCTAACAAATGCATCCTAGATTTAATAGCATGTGATCTATTATCTAGGACATTTTAAAATCCAAGAGTAAAGTATGTTTAAGGCTTCTGAGACAGGCTGACACGCACAAGGCTGTTGGATGGAGACTTCAGGTGCCAGCTGTCAGCTGTCCCAAATGCAGTGTGTGAGGAGAACGAGCAAAGCCGCTGAACAACACCGACCAGGTGGCTAGTAGACCCATTAACAGGAACTGATGTGCGCTTGATTGATTTGAGGGTACAGTTCATAAAGCAGGTACTGTAAATCCAGAGGCAGGATCAATGCCTCGACTGGACCACTGGTATGACATTGGAAATTGTTTTCTAAAACAGGTGCCATGTTTGTTTCACTTATATTTAAATAAAATTTTATTAATTCTTACAAAGAAAAAACATACAATACGGCTAAAATATAATACATCTAAAAAGAAAAACATAAAATTAAAAATCATACCATAATATAGCAAAATGATGCATCTCACCACTGGGACCATTAGATACATCACAAATCAGTTCCTCTTTCAAGAAGTTCTGTCTCCCTTCTAAAATTGCAATGATTTTTGTGGAGGTTCGAATCCTTTCCCTTTTTTTTGCACATACTCAATAAATGGTCCCAAAATCTCATCATAATTTTTCTTAATTATATAGTCTTTTTCATTTTAATATTGCAAGATAATTTATCATTAATAGCTGTTTTCCATACTTCTTTATATCAAACATCCAGCTGATAATCTTGTTTAACTTTCCAGTTCTTTGCTATAATTAATCTTGTAGCTGTTAATAATGCTTAATTAATTATTTAATATTACATCTCCATTGTTCTCTATCAAATACTGATAATAATGTGACTTTAGGTTTTACTTCAATATTTAATTTCAGTATTTTACTGCTTTCTTTAAAAACCTCTTTCCAAAATTTCATTATATATTCATATTCCCACCACATATGGAAATATGTACCCACTTCCTGACCACATCTCCAACATTAATTAGAATATTTGCCATCTATATAATTCAACTTAGGTACCATTTCCATATTAGCTTATAAAATTTCCCTTTATTCTTACTGACATACAATTTAACATTCTCCTGTCCCACATATTTTTCTAGAGTTTGTTGCTAATATTCCTTCTTAAATCTGTTTCCCATGTTGCATTAAGAGGATCATATTGGTCCATGTCTTCCAACAATATTTTATAAATTTTATTTACTATTCCTTTCATTTGCATATTGTCTTGTTTTTCCTTTCCCACTATCGTATCTTCAAATTAAATATAGTCTCTATTTTTATTTTTAAAATTAGGCTGTCATCTTTATGGGTGGGAACCTCCCAAGAAGGTGTTTAAAATATTGAGGAGGAGAGACTGAAAGAAGTGGGCATGCTTAGTCTTGAGAAGAGAAGACTGAGGAGAGAAATGAGACCACTTTTAAAGTACTTGTAAGGTTACCACACAGAAAAGCATCAAGATCTCTTCTCAGTCATCCCAGAGTGGAGGACACAGAATAACGGGCTCAAGTCAAAGGAAGCCAGATTCCGGCTGAACTTCAGGAAGGACTTCTTGATGCTAGAACAATACAAGAATGGAACCCATGACCTAGGGAGATGGTGGACTCTCCCACTTCTGGAGGGCCATCTGTTAACTTGGAGTCGGACACACTTAGTACACCCTTTGCAACACAATTCGGGGTTTGGAGAGTTATGGCAATGTTCCGGAAGATGACATGACTGTATTTGAATAAATGTAGAATTTTGAACATGAATAAATGAATAAATGTAGATTGTTGTATATGAAAAAATAAATCACCTGAAAATGAGCCCTAGCGCATCTTTTAGAACAAAAATTAATATAAGACTCGGTCTTCTTTTCAGGGAAATGAGGTAGCACACAAATGATTTTCTGGATGTTCAAAGGCACACACCTTGATTTTATGGTTGAGATGGCCTAAACAATTTATTTTGGACACAACTCCAGTGCCATGTTGGACCAGCCTTGCTGCTGTTGTAAGAAAAAGGTGCGGAGGAATAGACGGAAGTGTCACAGTCCTGTTGAAAGCCCACTGACAATCCCACACTTTCCTGAGCCAAACCCGTTCCAGATCTCACTGATGAGGCATTTCTAATAACCAGAGATTTTATACTATTAGCAAGCACCGTTTTGTAGTTTGGAGATTAGGAAGCCGTGCCAAGAAACCATTCAGAACCTGCTGTGCTGCATTTCTTACCTCACTTTTAACACACACCCTTCAGGAATATATAATTTAATGTTGATGGTCCTTTGTGTTCTCCGTCAGGTTTTTATTTAAAATTGCCCCGGGAATCCAATGTAGGAATGGATCTCTTGCGTTCCTCCCATCTTGCCCCCCTGTGTGTGCACGCCTGAACGCATTTCAAAGAACTTCATGGCACGGCATAGCAGCAAGTCGTTTTACGCCATTACAGGAGCATTGAAACAGGCATTGACATTTCAGAAGATAAGCAGCTCTTCAGAGCTTTTCTAAGCAAATATGTGATAACATAATAGCCTGGGTTGTTATGGCTCCATTCCCGTTCAAGGGATAGGAAATAACCTTGGAAATATCACAACTGGAAATGACTTTATTGGACACTGAAGTTGATTGGGTTGTCAGTCAAATGTTGACATCTTACTCTACTGGTGTCATTTTCCACTTGAGGGGTGCTTTAGCTCTCATCACCATTTGGATTTTCAGCACGGCTGAATTAAATTCACAGAATAAGGGGAAGTTCTCGATCCTAAAGGGAGCAGCTAAGCCCCACCACTAGGGGGTGGATCTGTGGGAGGGATCTGCCTGGGGGTGGGAAGCCGACGGAGTCTCTGGGCTCGGCTCCCTGGACTCCAGTTTGCTTTGCAGCAGCCCTGGGTCTGTTCCTGGTGAGAGCACCCAGCATTCACGGGGCTCTTGCCAGGAGCCAAGCACCGCTGATCACAGACTCATAGAGCCATAGCACAGTAGAGCTGGGAGGGGCCAAGAAGGCCATCAGGTCCAACCTCCTGCTGTTGCAGGACACCAGGTCACACTGTTCCACTCAGAGGGCTGCCCAGTTTCTTGTTGAATGCCCCTAATGTGGTAGAGCCCCCACCTCTCCAGGCAGCTGGTCCCACTGTCGTATTCCTCGGACAGTGAGGAAGCTCTTCCTGATGTCCAGACGGATTCTGGGTTGTCACAACTTGAACTGATTATTCCGTGTCCTACACTCTGATATCAGTGCAGAGAGATCTTGACCTTCCTCTTTGTGACAGCCTTTGAGGTCCTTATAAAGGGATATCATGTCCCCCCTCAGTCTTCTCTCCTCAAGGCTGAACACGTCCAGTTCTCTCAGTCTCTCCTCATAGAGCAGTGTTTTCAAAACCTGGATCATTTTTGTTGCCCTCCGCTGGACCCTTTCTAATTTTCCTGCATCTTTCTTAAGTCTCAGTGCCCAGAACTGGACACAGTATTCCAGGTGAGGTCTGACTAGTGAGGAGTATAGGGGAACTACTGCTTCTCATGATTTGCGAGTCATACTTCTGTTGGTGCCAGGACGAGCCGCTGGCTGAGCAGTGACAAAAGGTCTATTCCCGAGGGTCTGGCCAGGGCAGCAGGCACCACAATGTGTGCAGCTTGTGTAGGCATTTCACATTTTGTGAACTTTCCTTAGCTCAGTGTAGGATCTGTGAGTAGTGTGCACACACACTGGAGACCGAAAGACAATGAGAGATGGATGAACTTTTTTAAAAAAATGGTGCATTGAGCAGTTTACTTTCCGTGAGTATTTGTAGTCTTCTATTTGCAAACAGTTCAAGAAAATATAAAAACAAAAATGAAAAGCCGGCCACTCTGCAAACCTGTGGAATTTGTGCAGCTTGGGAGGTTTTGGTTCACTGCAGAATGCAGGGATTGAATTCATGGAAATCCAAAGTCATTGCCAGCCAGTTTGCCTTCAAAGGGATGTTGGCTGGGGTCAGCCAGGACCCCAGGAAGCCTTTATGCTGGGAGGGTAAAGAAAGGTGCTGACCCATTTTGCACAGGATTCACTGCCTAGAGCTGGGACTGATTTGCCCTTTAGGAGCCTGGTGTCATGTTCTCCAACACTGAACCCAGCTCAGAGGAGGACTAATTCAGTAAACCATCATTTGCCACTGTGAAACTCTCCATGTCACAGGATGTGGCATTAAGAACCCCTCTAAGAAGTGGACAGTTCCTCAGAGAGTGGCGTTAACAGGAAGTCCAGGTGCGCCTCCTTTCTTGACCCTTTGGAAGGCCTCTGGGCACTCCTGAGACATCAGCTCTTCGTGGACAAGTTTCAGCCAGTGATCCCTCCCAGGCCCACACGGCCCTGGACTCGCCTCACCCGTGAGGAGCCTTCATTGCATACCCAGCCTTTGCCTCATCAGATGGGGCCTTGTGTGCCAGGTGCGACCATGTTGTTACAAGCGGAACCATTGCTGCAACTGGTGGGAGCCCATTGCTGAGCTAGGAAGGGCATCCCCGGGATCTAGCAAGGAGTCATGACTAGTTGTTGGGTACCCACTGCAGAACCTCAGCTATGCATTTAATAAAACTCTCACCCTTCTGCCTCCATGTGCTCCTTCATTAGGGCAGCGGAAACAGAGGAAGACAAGAAGTCCTGGGGCAGGTTTTACTTTCCTTGATGCTGCACATAGTTAAACAAGGGAATTCACTTCCACAGGAAGCAGTGAGGTCCCCACTCTTGATAGCTTTAGAAGGGGATTGGACAATGGCACAGAAGTCGAAGCTTTCAGTGGTTAAAGCCCTGATGACTCAGTGTCGCTTCCACTAGCTGAGGTGGCGTGTCTAAGTTCTCCAGCTGCTGGGAAACAAGTCGGATGTGATTAGAGTCATATTTTACTTTTGGGCTGCTGGCAGGGTTGCCCACTGTGGGAACAGAATGCTGTTATGTTCCGCATGCTGTCATAAGGTCTAGATGACTCTTCGGGCAGCTCTAGCCTGCCTCATTTTATGCCGTTAAGTACTGGGTTCCTTTTACTGAGCTTTCATTTGGTTACCATTCTGAAAACTTTGGTGGTTTCATTTGCCAAAGGAATTCATTCTGTGAATTTAGCTAAGCAATGCTAGAAAACAACTCCAAGGGTAGTAAGAAAGTTAAACACCTCGGGAGCAGGGAGGAAAGATTGCCAAATACAACATTTCAAATTCAGCATTTGAATGTAGCTCTCTATTGAACAATTGCTACTCCAAATTTGGAACTGCGATCTTCTTCATTGGCATCCCTTGATAATTCTGGCCAATACTCCATGGAGCATCATAAGCTGTCAAACATTGTCAAGCTACACTTTCTGATGTTCATCAAATACTGTCACATATTAAATAACACTGCATATTTCAAATATATCAAATCTCAATGCAACCAAATACTTAATATTTTGTAGTTGATATGTAATATCATATCAGTTACTGCGACCAGATGATGTGGACAAGGTGCTTGGACAAGTACGTCCCACCACCTGCCTATTGGACCCTTGCCCTTCTTGGCTACTCAACAACGCCAAGCACGGGATAGGGACCTGGATCCTGGAGGTTGTCAACACCTCTCTGAGGGATGGCTGGGTACCTGCCCCTTTAAAGGAGGCAGTAGTCCGACCAGTCCTAAAGAAGGCATCCCTGGATCCAGAGATGGCCACCAATTATAGACTGGTGGCCAACATCCCATTTCTGGGCAAGGTGTTGGAGCAGGTGGTGGCGGGACAACTCCAAGCACTCTTGGATGAAACTGATTATCTGGACCCATTTCAGTCCGGCTTCAGACCCGGGTATGATACCCTGTATGATGACCTGTGCAAGGAGAAAGACAGGGGGAGTGCATCCCTGTTGGTTCTCCTGGACCTCTCAGCGGCTTTCGATACCATCGACCATGGTATCCTTCTGGATAGGCGAGCAGGATTGGGAGTAGGAGGCACTGCTTTGCAGTGGTTCCGCTCCTATATCAATGGCCAATTCCAGAAGGTGGTGCTGGGGGACTATGGCTCTGTGCTACGACAGTTATGCCATGGAGTTCCGCAGGGGTCCATTTTGTCCCCCTTGCTATTTAACATCTACATGAAAGCACTGGGGGAGGTCATCAGGAGGTGTGGGCTGCGGAATCACCAGTACGCTGATGATACCCAGCTCTACCTCTCATTTTCTACCAATCCAGGTGAGGCAGTGGCTATGCTGAACCGGTGCCTGGCTGAGGTAATGGGCTGGATGAGGGCCAATAAACTGAAGCTCAATCCAGACAAGACGGAGGTCCTGTTGGTAGGTAGGTCAGGCTTCAGGGAAGGGGACCTCGACCTTGTCCTGAATGGGGTTTCACTCCCTCTTATGGACAAGGTCCGCAGCTTGGGAGTGCTCCTTGATCCAGAGCTTTCGCTTGAAGCTCAGGTAACAGCAGTGGCGAGGAGCGCTTTTCTTCAGCTTCGGCTGATTCATCAGCTGCGTCCCTACCTGGAGAACGACTGCCTGGCAACTGTGACACACGCATTGGTAACTTCCCGACTAGACTTCTGTAACGCACTCTACGTGGGGCTGCCCTTGAAGATGGTCCAGATACTTCAGATGGTACAAAATAGAGCTGCCTGGCTGCTGATGGGGATGGGGCGTTATGCTCATATGACCCCAGTCCTCCGTCAGCTTCACTGGCTCCCCATTGAAGTCCGGGCCCAATTCAAGGTGTTGGTTATTATCTATAAAGCCCTTAATGGCTTGGGATCTGGGTACCTAAAGGAGCACTTATGTCCATATGTGCCCTCCTGCCCCTTGAGATCAGTGGCAGAGGCCCTTCTCCAGGAGCCCTCCGTGAAGGAGGGTGAGCACCCGGAGGAGGACCTTCTCTGCGGTGGCGCCCAACCTATGGAATGCGCTCCCCAGAGAGGTCCGCCTGGCGCCGTCATTATTTGCTTTTTGTCGCCGGGCCAAGACCTTTTTATTTAAACGTTATTTTAATTGTTAATATTATATATTGATTTTAATAACTTTGGCCAGGATGTCTCCAATTTTATATTTAATTGTATCGATGATATTTATTTATTATTGTAAGCCGCCCCGAGGCTTTGGCGAATGGGGTGGAATATAAGTTTACTTAATAAATATATAAACAAACAAACAAACAAATAATTGCTTTACGGCTCAGTGTTACTACTGCAGAATACTTTGTAATACTTGCATATGTCTACATGGCCAAATACCATCTGGTGGAATGAAGTGTCACCGAACATTAAGGGAACAGTGAAAATGGGATAATTATCCTAAAACTCACAGGTGATAATCAGCGTCTCCATACCAAAATCCTTCCACTCAACTTCTGGCTTGTCAGGGAGAAAGCTAGCTTTGAACATCTTCCTGAGATCTGCACAGCCCGTTGCTTCACTTGCATGGTTGTGTGGCTTCCACCTGAGGTCTGAATTGGGACAATTCAGAAACAATTTTACCATCTCTTCTGTTCCAGGAAAAGCACCCACAGAGCCACAGTTAGGCTGGGCATGTGTGATGTAGGACAGGGGTGCAAAAACTTTTTTGGTGGGGTCCACCACCAGGTTTCCACTACAAATGTGGGAGAAATGTGCAGTGGATCCAAGTGAGTTCAGATCCCTATGAATCCATCCTATGGATCCAGCAGCAAAGAGGTTGCAAATGGATTTTTTTTTTCTGGAACTCTATACCTATATAAGCATAGAAAAGTATTGAAAGCTCTGACTAAAAATGCACATTCCTTCCTCCAGCTGAAGCACTTGTGTGTCTTGGGGGCCCTTGCACTTTTCCGAAAGTAACAATTTGCACACGTGCAAATTAGCACTAGTCCAGATGAACACATTTGTGCAAAATCCAATTCCATCAATGAATGGGTGAAGGAAAGGGCCCGGCATGCACAACGCTTGAACGGAACAGATTTATCAGCATCTGGGCATCTCCGCTCTGCACAGGGCAGATGCTGTCGGTGGCTGTGCCCATGGCAGGATGCAGCTCAGCTGATGCTTGGGAGGAGCGGCCGCTTTGGGCCAAGCTCCCTGGCGCTCTCCTTGCCATGCTGTGGCAGATGGAAAGCCACAGTGAGCCACAGATCACTGGTGGAAGGGCAGCCCCAGAATTGACCAGGCTCAAGTCTTTTGACAGCCAGCGGCCTTTGCCTCAATCAGCAGCAGGTCATTCCTTGAGGTCACTTTCCCTCCTCCAGTTCCAAGCCCCTGATCCTGCGATTCTTCCCCATACTACATTCTGGCTCAATGCCACTGGGCCTCTTGGACTCTTTGTCATGAACCCAATAGCTGCCCTTGCGCTCAGGCACCCACTTTTTCATGTGTTGGTGCTCTTTTGTAAGACCCCCATGATGCCCTCCCTTCTGCCTGATTGGGAGGAGATCCACATGGGCGACGGCAGAGCTGGCATCAAGAGTCAGCACAACCGGGCACTTGCCAAGGTGCAATGCCCCAGCTGGGGCCTCTGGCAAGGTCCCACTGGAGTTGCTCCTCAGCCTGGCAACCTGCTTGTTCTCCTGACTCTCGCCTTACCTGAGACAGGTGGTGAGGATCTGTGGAGCACATGGCCTGCTTCCCTTCTGCCTCTCTAGCAGCTTTTACTTCCTGGGCCCAAGTGAGCCTTCTCTTAGTGGTATTTCCTTTCCTTGTATATCCCTTAACAAGTTCCATTTACACTGAAAGTCTGCTCAGCTCAGACTTCTGTAGAGTCACACAACACCTTAAAAAGTCTCATATTATTGTTGGTCAGTAGGACCTCTGTCTGTGGTTTAGTCCTGCTAAAAGCAGAACTTTTGAAATGACTGGGGTTGCATCATGAGAGCGTTACACAAAGGCTCAGCTGTGGCAACTTTTTGAGTCTGTCTGTCTCTGTCTGTCTGTCTTTCTTTCAAAATGTTGATTTTCATATAGTACCCCATTCCCCTAGGTGCTGGGTGGTTTACAAGAAAGTAAACAGTAATTAAAATGTTGATTAGAACAAACATATTAAATAAAACTAATCTGGGAACTAATCTGGAAGGCCCGCTGGCTGGAAGAGATACATCTTTACCTCCCTCTTTTTACATAGCAATCTAGGATATCAGACGCATCTCTCCCGGCAGAGTATTCCACGGCTTAGGGGCATCCGCAGTCATCTTACAGAAGCAGACTTTGGAAGAATATCCCCAGAGGACCTTCACAGGCAAGGCGAAGTACATGGGCAAAGGTGCTCCTGAAGCTATTTTGGACCCAAGCCATGAAGGGCTTTAAAGCTAATTACCGATGCAGTTCACTGCATTTGGAAACCTATTGGCAACCTGTGTGGAAACTTTACCATTGGTGATATATGGCATCACCTAGGGATCTGGGCTAAAGAATTCATTCTGTGAAAAATAAGCAAGTCCCTTCTTTGGGAGCCTGATACTCTCAAACAGAATGCAAGGAGCGTGCCCTCTGCCTTGATCCACCAAAAGGCTTGGGGAGGGAGAATATGGTATGAAGAAAAGCAAAACAGCCCTTCCACTGTGTAGGATGCAGCAATCTTGATTATTTCTTCCCATAATATTTTAAAGGATTTAAAGAGACAATAAACAAGGTCTTCGGGGAACTGCATAGTTCCTTAATACCTGTTTTCATTGCAACAGGTCAACTGTTTGGGTTTACAGTGTAAATATCTTATAAAACTTACACTATCAACTTCAGAGACAGCATATATGATTAACGAGTGCTAGTGGCATGTGATGACATTACTGTGCCCCTTAGCCAGAAGATATGGCTCTGGTACATATGTACATGTGTGTGTGTGTGCTGTTTTATTTTCCCTTAAGCAAGAAATGGGAAGAGAAATGAACCACTGTCACAATGTATAAAAGAGATTTATTTTCTTCTAAATTACTAGCTTGCAGTGTAAATTCCAGTATTTCACATTAAATAGTCCAAATATTAATTCACCCTCTGTTTTCTTTCATATTTACATTTCATTTGTGCAATTTGATCAAGACTTATACGGGGGAGAAAAATATAACTGTGACATTTATGGGGACTATTTGTGTAACCTTTTGCATTTTCGGTGCAATATGGATGCTGCTAAAACTGCAGTGACAGAGATTAGTGAAAATTATAAATGTCAAGAAGGTGAGAATTACATATTTTCCCCTTTCTAGACCCTTCTAAAAGGAAATGTGTGAGAAAGAACATGGACAGGGAAGTACAGATTGTATTAAATTCATTCTGTCTGTGTATGATGGATCGTCAGGTTCCGTTGTCTGCTCACTGGTGGACTTTCCTTTGAGATTTATGAACATTTTGGTCCCCTTGAACAAGTGCCAACTTCTACTAATGCACATTAGCACATGTGCATATTAGCATTAATTAGAGCAAGTGCAAATTTGTGCAAATCACCCAAATAAATAGACAAAATCCACGTGACTTGGAAAGAAATCACTTTGGTGCAAAATCTGAACCTTGCATTCATTTGAATCCATTGCAGATTCCTGTGACACTCCTAGTTTTGGCGCTGTTTGGGCTAAGTTGCCCACCAGTTGCTGGGCCCGTGTGTTTTGCTGGCATGCTAAAATTACTCAGCAATATCTCTGATCTTCTGTGGTTTAGGAAGGAAGGGCTTCTTCAGTTTCTAAGGAAAATCTCATTGGTTTGTTATGGCCATGAAACATTAATGACTGATTTAGCACAACTAATCAGCACCAGGATCCTGTAAGCATGGAGGAAACAACTGACCTAGTGTAGGTATCAGGTCACCAGAACCTACATGCTTTGCTTTCTGATGGACTGAATAAACCGACCACCATCTGCTGTCTAACTCACCTGGTGAAGCCGTGCCTTTGCAGACATTTTTCTTTGCTGTATTGCCAAATGACATCATGGGCTGGATCACCCTTGATCCACACACCCAATCACATGCATCTGAAAGCATGACGCATTGCTGCTTCGAAAAATAATTCCAGCTGCCTGGTGTGCGAGGGAGGTCAGACATCCTCCTTGAAGTTTTCTTCCTTGTTCTCAGCTTGATCAGGAGCAGATCTAATGAAAAACTGGAGCAGAGTTCCATGTTCTTACAATGCATTTGAAATAGCTGGGGGAAAAATACTGGGGGAAAAATACTGCACGGAAAAAACTGTGGATAAGTGATTGCCTGCAAAGCAGGAGTGATGAACCCGAGGGCTGAATTCTATTTCAGGACAGCTCTCGGAGGCTTCATCCTTGTGGTGGGTGGTCTGAAGGCTCTGCGAAAGCTGCAGAGTCTCAAATCCAAACATATCAGACCCTTTTACAGCTGGAAACCAAGCCTTTCCAGAGAGACATTTCCACCTTTAAAAATGGGGAGAGGACTTTGAAAAAGTGAAGAAGCCATGAAATGATCCATGGTCGGGGGAAAGGAATAAATGAAGCGGCATGTCCTCCATGTGACCCCAGAGGGTCTCATTTGCCTCCCCACCGAGGTTCTGCACCCTGCTGTAATATGCACTGCTCTTCTTTTTCATTTCAGTATCTTGCAACACACGCTCCCCACATCCACGCCATACATTCCTGGAAGCACCCAGGACGAGGCACCCTCCTTGGGTTCCCTCCATCGATGGGTTGTCCTGCTCTTGACCATCCTCAGTAGCTGTGGCTGCTCCCCATTGTCTGTCCCAGCCTGGCTACCACTTGCTTCTCTTGGTCAGAGTGAGGGGCAGGCAAAAGTCTCATGTGCACATACAGGAATGCTTCAGTCCCGTGCAGCCACGGGCCATGCGTGCAGGAGCATCGGGGGTGTATTTGCCATAGCACGATTGCACATTTCAGAAGGAAGTGGTGAGTGCCATTTTAACGTCATCCAACACCAAGCTGGAAAGCTTCTTTGAAGCAAACTGTTGCTTTGACATTGACTCTACTTTCAAAATCCTGCTTGGAATAAGCACACTTCTCAGTGAACAGGTTCCTAAAAATAGGACCACGTAAGCCTTGTGCTCCTGTTCTGTTAGGAGAGATGCTGAATGGGGAAGGGGAAAGGGGTGAGTGGGAATTCACTGTGAGTGGGGGAACATCGGACGTTGCACACACCTCTCCAAGAGTTCAGAAAGGACCCTTCCCTTTCCTAACTAGAGATGGTGAAGGCTGAACTTGGGAGCTTCGGACAAGAAAACATGTGCTCAGTTACTGAGCAATGGCCTTTCTCCCCTACAGGGAGGAATCGACATTTGGAGGCAGCAGTGGGATTGGGAAAGGGGATGATGCTAGTGAAAAGGTAATGGGGTCACGGTTATGCACAGGCATGCCTGAGGGTTTCATTTCTGCTTGCAGAACAGGCGAGCATTGCCCAAATGTATGCACAATCATCCGCCTGCTGAAAATATCCACAGATTGTCCAAGACAGGCTCGTGTTCATCTTGTTCTTGATGCACATGGCCAGGAAGCACAGCTTGGGCTAGTCGCGAGAGGAGGAGGAGAATTGAGCAAGACACTTGGGGCCCCTGCAGGAGGGAAAAGGGTCGCGTGAGCTCAGCTCATGACAGCTCAGACTGCTGAAGCAGGCTAGGCGGCCTCACTCTTGTGAAGATTCGGAATGTGCTGAGCCTTCCTGGGAGTTTGGGTATACGGGCATGCCAAGACATGGAGATGGGAGAAGTGAAGGTGTCTAATTCCAGGCCAGGTGGAATTCCCGGATGGGCAGGCACTCCCTGGGAATAACCAAGGTGTACAATTGGCAGGGGGGAATTTGGAGGAGGGAAGTTTCTCAGACACAGACTGAGTGACCCTGGCTCTTGACCCCATGATGCATAATCAGCAGATTAATTAGGGAAGCCCAGTTAAAGAATCAACATGCGGGGAAGGGGCATGCTCATTTTCAGAAGGCCCCTTCCAAGGGATGGGGGCCAGGCATGCTCATAAGGAGAGTTCCTGGAGGTGAACACTAGATTGGGTTCAGCAAACATTTCCGTGCAGAGATTCCTTCTGGGTGCTTTGCCCTTCCGGCTCAATAAAGAACACCAGTTCATCTATCTGTTGGTCCAGGTTACTTGCAAAGCTCTCCTCCAGAACCATGTTTCTAATGCATGAAGTTTCTTCATGTCAGTTTTCTTCACTGTCCAACTTTCAAACAATAGTTTCCTGGAAATTCTGTTCAGGAGCATCTAAAGTCTAAACAAGAGCAGAGGTTGGGAAAGGGCGAACAAGGTCCATGATCCAAGTAGCCATTCCCGTAATGCCGAACTCTACTTGACGTTCCATATGACGGACCCTTGATAGAATGCCAAAATGTGACATGTGCCAAAATCGTTGAAGATCAGGGGTGCAAAACTGCACGCCTATTTTGCCAGCCATGGACTAAGGCCCCGGGCTCGCACCGTCTGCCTGCTCGCCTGCCCGCCTGCCCGCCCGATGCTGCGCTGCGCCCGTGGAGCCTTGACAACGCCACTGCCACCACTTCTGTTGTGACGAGGTCTGCGCCTGCTCTGTGCCTCCGCTGCCGCCATCACCCGCACACCCACCTGCTCCTGATTTCCGGTGAGAGGGGAGAGCGGGGGTGGGGGTTGCACTTGTGGAGGGTGGGGTGGGGTGATGCTGACGTGCCTATTTTGCCAGCCATGGACTAAGGACGGTGGCCTTGGGCTGGTGGCCAAAGGGCTTTGAGCTGCTCAGGGCCATTCGGGGTTGGTTTGGGCCAGGGATTTTGCTTTTTTGTAATGGGAGGAGGGCAACATAGGAATTTTGTACGTGTAGAGCTGGTGGCTGTTGTTTGCGCTGCTTTGGTTGTTCAACACAGCATCTTTTATATTTTTATATTATATTGATTTTAGTTGAGATGGGAGATCCTGGGGATTGTAGCCCCCCCCCCCCATAGGGGTGGATATGACCCAGGGAAGGTATGGTGCTGTGGGTGCAATGAGTCATTACAGAAGGAGGGGGGTAGATGCTTAGTACCTGTCCTGTGTTCTGGTTTTCCCCCCACCTGGACAATACTAGGCAGCAATATCAACCCGCCCTCCAGTTTGGTGGTGCGGTTGTTGAATGTCAGGTTGGTCCAAACTAAAACCCCTCATCCTCGATTTAATCCTGGATGAGGGGGCCAACCTGGCATGTGCCACAGAGACCTGGCTGGGTGAAGCCGGAGGCATGCGGCTTACCCAGCTTTGCCCACCTGGGTATCTGGCCCAGCACCAACCTTGTCTGGATGAAAGGGGAGGGTGTCTGGCTCTAATTCATAGAGATACCATCTCCTTCAGAGGAGTGTTTACACCTGGTGTTGGATGATCAAGACAGATTTGGGATTCTGCAGGTGTACCACACATGCTTCTGCCCAGCAGACTCCCTGCCTGAGCGGACGGAGATGGTCTTGGTGTTGAAGACTCCCAGGATGTTAGTTCTGGGGGATTTCAACTTCCAGGCTAAGAATATTCTCTCCAGGGCAGCTCAGGACTTCATGGCCAGCATGACAACCATGGGGCTGTCTCAACACATGAAAAGGGACACATTCTGGACCTGGTCTTTCAACTGGGCAGGAATATGGTGAACTGGAAGTGAGGGATCTGGCACTAATCCTTTGGCCATGGTCAGATCACTTCCTTGGGAGGTTTAAACTTGGGGCCAGTTTCTCCCTCTGTAAGAGTGCATGCCGGATTCAATTGGTCCACCCTGGAAGTCTTATGGATCTGGATGGATTCCTGCAGTCTCTGGGGGACTTTCTGGTTGATATGACTGCCCCTTCTGTCAACACCCTAGATCAGTGGTGGCGAACCCATGGGATGCCTGCCACAGTGGGCACACAGAGCCCTCTCCATTGGCACACAAGCCGAGTCGCCCCAGCATCACCCCAGCAGCCGAGCATTGGATAACAGCGCACACAGGGGCCATGTGCATGCTTGGAAAGGAGTAGTGGTGCCAAGCAATGATGTCACAAGCCAGGGCACATTAGCCGCGACTCGTCTGAGCATTTGCATGGCTGGTCAGTGCAATGCCAAGGGGGGGGGGGGGGGGAGAGAGAGAGAGAGATTTGCTTGGACTGGCTGTTTTCAGGTTTTATTGCAGTGTTGGCACTTTGTGATAAATAAGTGGGTTTTGGGTTGCAGTTTGGGCACTCGATCTCTAAAAGGGCATCACTGCCCTAGTTGATCTGTGGAATATGGAAATGACTTGGGCAGTTGACACAATCTCCCCTAAGCAGCCTCTCCCACCGTGTGGAGCCCATGCAGCACCTTGGTATACTCCTGCATTATGGGCGATGAAGCAGGCTGGGAGATGACTAGTGCGTAGGTGGAGGAAAACTGACTGAACACACCCGAGAGCTCATTATCGAGCCTATGCTGTGATGGTGAGGGCAGCGCAGAAGGAATTCTTCTCTGCTTCCATTGCAACCACACAGTGCCATCCCGTGGAGCTTTTCTGGGTGGTAGAGGGCCCATTACATTCTGGGTCTCAGACAGACCCTATCACACCATCGGCAGCTTGCTGTGACAACTTTGTACAGCACTTTAGGGATAAAATTTCTCAGATTCGCCAGAAATTGGGCTCCACAGTTGATATGGTCCTGGAATGGGAGGTGTCCAGAGCGCCGTCTGGTCTGAATTTGCTGGATAGGTTTCAATTATTGCATCCTGAGAACGTGGACAAGGTGCTTGGACAAATCCGACCCACCACCTGTTCACTTGACCCTTGCCCTTCACTTGACCCATGGCTGCTCACCAAAGCCAAGGATGGGATGTGTACCTGGGCCCAGGAAGCAGTTAATGCCTCTCTAAGGGAGGGACAGGTCTGCACACCCTTGAAGGAGGTCCTATTGGTGGGTGGTTCAGTTCTCCAGGTAAGTGATCCTTGCCCTGTTCTGGATGGGTCTGCACTCCCCCAAGGGACAGGACACGTAGTTTGGGAGTGCTTCTTGACCCAGAGTTATCCCTGGAGTTTCAGTGACTACTGTGGTGAGGAGCGCTTTCCTCCAGCTTTGGCTGATCCATCAACTGTGCCCTTACTTGGATGAACAGAGCCTTGCAATGGTGACCCATTTCTGGTAACCACCCGATTGGACTATTGTAACATGCTCTATGTGGGGCTGCCCTTGAAGATGGTCCGGTTACTTCAATTGGTTCAGAACAGAGCGGCCAGGTTGCTAGCAGGGACCGGCAGATATACACACATAATTCCGGTCCTCTACCATGTGCACTGGCTTCCAGTTGAAGTCTGGGCCCAACTGAAGGTGCTAGTGATGACTTATAAAGCCCTAAATGGCTTAGGACCCAGATATTTGAACGAGTGCCTCCTTCCATATATACCTACCCGACCTCTACAATATGGAATGGAGGTCCTTCTCTGGGAGCCCTCTTTGAAGGAGATCAGAAGAGTGGCTACTCGGAGAAGGGCCTTCTCTGCGGTGGCGCCCCAGCCATGGAATGGGCTTCCCAAAGAGGTCCGCCTGGCACTGACACTTTTTTCATTTAGGTGCCAGGCCAAAAACATTTTATTTTCCCAGTATTTTAAATGTTAGTATTGTTTTTAATATTGATTTTGTATATTATTTGTGATGCTGTGCTAGTCATCTATTTACGTTATCGCTGCGCTGAGACACTGTACAAGGTGGGATATATAAACTTTAAATAAATAAATAAAACCAAACCAAACTGGGAAAGCATTTTTCATTAAGCCCTCCATGCTGCTTTTTTATTGGAGTGTTTTCATAATTGGGTTGCCCATCTACACAGCATTACCAAATACTTTACTGTAGAAAAGCACTCAAAGGTGCTAGAGGATAATTGGATGAGCGAAACTGTATGCAGTTTAGATGAGAAGGAAGCTCCTCCATTCGGATTTGTCCACTCCACTGTCCGGAGCAGCAGATTCAAGGCTGGTTTCCTTGGAGTTTTCATCAAGAATCAGCTCTAGCTCTCTGAGGAAAGAGCGAGAGACTGAGATTGAGACTGATTTTGGATCCGCACTGGGTCTTCCAAAAGGCATAATAAAGCAATAACTATCCAAATAAATGCACTGTATCATCATCAACTACCACTGCATAATCATCATTCCATTTCCTGGGAACGGCACATCATTAAAAGCATATCTGAGCAGAACGGTCTGGACAATCGTTCCAAAGGCTGCAGAGAAGGAGCTCTGGAGAGAACGGATTCCAGAGCCTGGATTCTGCTCCGAAGACCCCAAAGGTCTGCAGGAACTTCTGACCCCTACATAGTCTGCTTGGTTCTGCCCAACTCTGCCCATGCCCAGCAGCGCCCTGTATTCACCCCTGTGCTCAGGATCATCCAATACACTCTGAATTTTCTTTTGGATAGGAGAATGGAAGATGAACAAGTTAAGGAAACTATGATAATGTGGGCACAAAACTTTAGATACAATATTGAGTTAAAGAAATGGCAAAAGCTGTGGGAAAGAAATATTAAAGTAACATTAGCAACCTCATATAAAGAAAACCTGTATAAAATGTTTTATAGATGGTATCTATTGCCAAATAGATTAGCTAAGATGTTTCCAAATACGTCAAATGGATGTTGGAAATGTAAACATAAACTGGGTACCTTTTATCATATGTGGTGGACCTGGGATAAGGCAAAAAAATATTGGGTTAAAATACACAAATGGCTTGAGGCACTGTTACAAAAACCTCTAACATTTAAACCTGAAGTTTTCTTATTAGGCATTGTACCTGAAGATGTTGGTAATCAAGCAATGTATCTGATTCTACATATAACTACTGCAGCGAGGATTGCATTTGCCCAACATTGGAGGAGTGAAGAACCACCTACCGACAAACTGATTTTAAAAAAGATCTTGGACTGTGCCGAAATGGACAGATTGACTTTGTCTCTGAAGAAGAAAGAAGATACAGACTTCTATCAGACTTGGAATTCCTTTTATTACTGGCTAGAGAAACGGGACTATGCATAGATTTAAATATGTTTATGGATTATCATAAAAAGAAAGAGTATGGGGGGCTGACCCAGTAGGTCTGATGCTTTTGATGATTGATGATTTTTAGTTTCTTTTTGTTAGTTAGTAGAAAGATAACAATTAAACTTATTTTTTTAAAAAAGGATTGTCCAATACACACTGGCGGAGGCAGGGATTCGAGACCCCTGCTCTGCAGAGGACAGTCCTCTATTTGAAAGCCACTTTGGTTTTAAGGACTGTCTCATCTTAAGGTCTGGTGTAAAAAAAAGAACCCTAAGCAAGGTTTTTATTTTGTATCACATATTTGGGGATTTAACCTTTGGGAACCATCCAGAAGGCTTGGCTATTGGGTGATACAGAAAGCTAGGAAAAGAATCAGAAGAAGAAGGAGTCACTAAGAACCAAACCAGGGAAAATCCCTGAAAAATCTTAGATGGCATTAGCAATTCACATGGGGTAAATCTTGCCATATGGTCTGGCCCGTCTGCTCCGTGGGGTTCCACTTTAATGATGTTATGAATAGCACGCACTTTTCTGAGGTGCTGCTGGATATACAGACACATCTAACTCATCTCTCGTGTCTAATTTCCTGCCCTTTAAAACATTAAAAAACCATCTTTTATCTGAAGCCCTTTATAGACTTTGAATGCTGTATTTGCCCAAGCAACATGAATCATTTTCTTTTTTCATTTTCTGAACACTATATTGACATCGCATAATGTAACCAAGGTTGTAAGAAAAGTAATAAATTGATTTAAAAGGGTGTAGATGACACAAAACATTCATGCGATTCAATAAAACTAGAACACAAATCAGAAATTATATCTTGTCTAGTTTTCATATTTTACTCTCCAGTCTGTCTCTCAAGTCTTAATATATTTCTCCAAATATGATTACTGAAGGTCTGATGTTAATCTTCTGGTAATGATAAGACTGTATAGCTCAGTCTTGGACATTAGCAATGGTAATTCTTTGATATACTGCCTTTATTTAGTCCTTCAGAGTCTAAATCAGTCTCAACCTGGTGCCCTGCAGTTTTTGTTGGAATGCAGTTCCCATCAATTCCAGAGGTGGAGACGGGAGGAGTACGGTTCCACCATCCTCTAAGGAGCTGCTCCTTCTTGCAAGGAAGGGAAAAAAGGATTAAGATGGCTGAAACAGGCCACTTAAACATTTTAGAGGTGAGGGACATGCAGAGGCCATCTTGGAAGGACCCGTTCCACAGAAGATGAGCAGATACTTTCATACACTGAGGATGTGTCTTTGCAGGGTGGAGAACATTTGACCATTAGATATGTAGGCATTGCCCAAATTTCCTAAACAGATATCCAGGGTTATGGATATCATGGACTCTGTAGATTGTATTGTGGTGGAGTCAATGGTCATAGTCTGTACGGAGATCAGTGATTTGAGAAAATGTGGTTGAGATATCCTGGAAGCCAAATTTAGGTTGCTAAGGAGAAAGTTGAAATTCAGGACCACCAAGGGGGGTTTGTCTGAAATGCTGCGTGTTCCACATGCAGGCCCAGTGAGACAAGCTGAGCAGTCTATGTACTACTACTATTCACATTTCTATACCACCCATAGCCAAAGCTCTCTGGGTAGTTTACAACAGTAAGTCACCCATCCAGATTTCAACCAGGCCCGGCCCTGCTTAGCTTCCAAGATTAGGCAGAACCAGACACTGCAGGCTATATGGAAGCATGTAGGGATGAGGCAGTGGAATAGGGTGGATGGGTACAGATATATTAGGCATTAGGATAAGCCAGGCCAGTACAAGAGGGATGGGCTCAGCTTGCACCAGAATGAAACCAGGATGCCAGGGCTGAACAGCAAAAGTGTGGCAGAGCAGCTTTTCAACTGGACCCTGAGGGAAAGCTCACAAGAGCTGAGGATCATCCCTAGGGGACAAAGATGAAATGGTTCCCAATTGCCCCAGAGCAGAAGAGAACAGCGTGACAGAAACATGTGGTGAAATAGGATAGCCCGGCCAAGAGGCTGAATGGCGCAGCAGAGGCTGTCTGGGGAGGGGAACTTGGAATGGGTGTCTCTGTGCGAATGCTTGAAGGGGGGTGCCTGGCTTTAAAGGACCTAGAGGTCGTGTGCATTATGGAAGACTCATGGAATGGGGAGAACCAGCAGGAAGACGCCGTCTCTGGATATAAGCTGCACAGGAAGACCAGAGAAGGGCATATGGGAGGAGGGGCCGCTCTGTACATCAAAAACCATGGGATTGAGCAGGCTCAAAGCTAATGGGGGAAGGCTTCGCCACAGATGCACTGTGGGTGACGATCCTGGGATCCAGAATGAACTGCACCAGGAGGAAAGGAGAATGCTGGTGATTTGATGTAGAAATAATGTCAGGAGTATTCCCCATCTAATACCAGATGCCTTCAATTACCCCTGCATGGACTGGATAAATGCAGTCACAACAAAGAGAATAAATTTCTCAGTGCCCTAAATGGCAGAGCCCTAGAATAGTTAATGTCAGAAGTGAGCAGAGGCAATGCAACCCTGGATTCATCGCTAAGTGATGCTGCCCGGGATCCAGTGCGAGACGTAAAAGCTGTTGAACCAACACTCTGTTAGATTGATTAACCACTGAAATTATTTAGGGTGGTTATGGCAAAGGGATTGTAAGCAGCTCCAAAAGGAAGAATAGGCACCAAAATGGCAAGCGAGTTTCAGTGTAAGCAAGTGCAGAGTGATGTCCCTTATAAAGTATACTGATGAGTTGGAAAAATGAAGAAAAGAGCAACTAAAGGATCCAGGATATGGAATAACTTTCCTAGGATGAAATGTTCCAACATCTGGATTGCTTCACTTTGAAGAAAGCAAGTAAGGGGAGGTAGAGCAGAAAGGGATTTTTCACCATGTGGCATAACAATAGGACCCTGTGAAGCTTTGGTGGGAGCTTCAGAACAGAGAAATGACGTACTTCTTCATTCCATGGGCAGCTACTCTATGGGACTCGCATGGGATGGCCGCTAATTTGAATGGCTTGAACAGGGGATTGGGCACATTCAAGGAGAAGAAGGCTATCAATAGCTACAAGGCCTGATCGTGATACAACACCTGCATGATCAGCAGCAGTGTGCCTACGCACTGAAGTTACTGAGAAACAAGGACATGACGGTCCCAACGCTCTCATGTCCTGCCTGTGGGTTTCCCATGGGCGGATCATTGCCCACTGTATGATCAATGCTGGACAGCAGTAGGCCAGTTTTCAGGCTGGTCAGCATGGGCTTTCTTGTGTTCTTCCACTAGCACATGCATGGGCTGAGCTTGGGTGTCTTCTACAGCTCTTACCACCTCTAGTTCCTGCTGGCCTTGATGTCCAGCTTTGATGGGCATTGTGGCCCAAAGCACCAGGTTGGATATGACTTCAATACCTTGGCTCAATAAGTGCCATCCAAAGGGAGACTGCAGCTGAGAAACTGGAAGAAGACTGAGAGTGGGAAGGGAAGCAATGAAGGAGCTAGAAAATATCGCTCAGTGCAAGAATGTTTCACTGGAGACCAAGGCAAAGATCAGCTAACTATGGCATTCCCAATCATGACATATGGGTGTGAAAGCTGGACAGTGCCAAAAGCTGGTAGGAAGAAAATGGATGCATTCAAGGATGGTGCTGGAGGAGAGTTTGTGGATACTCTGGAATGACAAAAAGACAAACAATCAGGTGGTTCCTAGATCAATTAATTTCAGAGCTTTCCCTGGAAGCAAAAATGACAACACTGAGGCTGTCTTACCTGGACACATCCTGAGAAGCCAAGACTCACTGGAGAAGACCCTCATGCTAGGGAAAGTCAAAGGCAGAAGAGGAAACAGTAAACCAAAAATGAGATGGAGCAACTCCACCAAGGAAGTCACAGTCTTGAATCTACAGAAGCTGAACAAGGCTGTCATGAACAGAACGTTTTGGAGGGCTTTCATTCAGAGGGTTGCCATAACTCAGAGACAACTTGATGGCACATTAACAACAACAATAGGCAAAATGTCGCAGTATCATTCTTACTTCTGTTTGCCTCTATAGGAACATCTGCATTTTAGTCCAGGTGAAATTTGGTGCGACCGAATCAACAGGCCTTATTGCAAAGATGGTTTCTCTGCTGAAGTGAACTGCAAATACGGGATGTGACTCTGAGGTGGTTACCATGGTAACCCAAAGAGTCTTCAGTCTAGTACAAATATTTCCCTTTGTTTAATTTTTTTTAGCACAAGCAGTATTTTGCTTTCCATGACTTTGTGAACAAACATGAATCAACAAGCACATTATAGGAAATGCTAAAGATATATGCAGAGTTCATCCAGAGAAGAAAAGGTCTTAACTGTGAAGGCAACTGCATTTTTAAAAAATAATAATTGAAAGAGAATATATTCAACATTTTTTCCACTCAGCGTAGCCATTATAATCTCGTTCTTGGCTGTAATGACAAGACTGAAATCCCAAAGATTGTGCTTGCAAGTGATCAAATGGAAACAGAAGCTTCTAATCATCTTGTGGAGGAAGACTGTGTGAAAATACCTTCTTTAGAACTTGGGAGCAAAATAAAAACTCCGTTATTCCTGAATTACTCTCTCATTCCCATACACTAATTGGCCCGTATTAAAAGCCAACCAAGTTCTCCTCAACTATGTTCATACACAAAAAAATCCTAAGAAAAACCAGGCTGAATGTTGAGGATTCTCTTTGCAAAAGCTAGACACATGCTTTGCTTTTGAAGTGCAACTATTTATCCCACAATATCCAAAATTCTGTGTTTCACCTGTACACGGATCCAGTTGAAAGGTTTTGAATTTACTTTGATGTTACTTCAGGAGCATTGGGCAGTATCCAGTGCTGTCATTCCACACATTCAACTGGCACTGCCTTTGCATTGCACTTGTCCTTTGTATCGCACAATTTTTGCGTGGAGTCCTGCACTGAGCCAGGATCGAGCCCAGTGGCCTTACTGGCCTCTTCCGACACTAGGATTGGCTTCTCGTTGGTCCTTTCCGATTTTGTGATTCCATCATTAAGCAGCTGGTGACACAACAGGATCCACAACTAAGTGTGCTACTGCATGCACAATTGCTTGTGCAAGTAAAATGCACAACTGCTTGCTCAACAGTTCTGAGAATGTGTTGCACAGTGGGGTGTGTTATCGGTTGCATAATGGAGTGTGCAAGTGTGATGCACAAGGGATTGCACAAACAGTCACACAAGCATGCTTGTCTCCCTCCCTCTCCCCCTCCCTCCCTCTCCCCTCCCTCTCCCCTCCCCTCTCTTTTCTCCTGCAAGGAATCCTTTCCATGCTATATGACAACAACCCTGTGAAGTACACTTGGCTGAGAGTCAGTGACTGGCCCAGAGTCACCCGGTGGCCAAGCGGTGACTAGAACCTGGACCTCTCAAGCCCCAGTCCATGCTCATTGTGCCACGCTGGCCCTAATCACAGGGAGCCGGTTGCACAAACGTGATTCGCAAGAAAGGTAGCCAAACGGGTCCATCCATTTGAGGAAAATAAAAATAGGAAATCCACACTTGGGCAATACCTTTATGAGAACCAACCAAGATGTCCAAAGAGATTGCGCAGGTTTTGCAGTTTTCCAAATCCCTTAACCGGGTGAAATGGCACCAAAAAGGAGAGAAGAACAGATGTGTCAAAACAATTAAGCTGCTTGGTGCAGCCATGGAGTCTGTAGACCCAGTATGAAAATGAAGGTTGCAGATTGGGGGGTGGCCAGGTAGCAGGTGACTGCTCACATTCTGAGATGAAGAAGCAGGCCCTTTTCCTCCCTATTGCCCAGAGCCTGGGAAGGCAGAGAGCAAAACATGAAGAAAACAACAGCCATCTTTACATTAGCAAAGCCAGAGATAAACCCTATTTAAATATAGCTCTTGGGGCAATCACAAGATAGCAATCACATTACCTCTTACTTTTCTCTTGCCCAGGCAAACTAGCACCCAATGCCTTCAGCCATTTCTTTTAGACCATTGACTGTCTTTGACATTCTTCCTTTCGATAGGTTCCACACTGATAGCCTTCTTCCAGTGTGATCTCAGATTGTATACAGTGCTCTGGGGAAGATTTGACCCAAGCACAGCAGGGCTGCACCTTTATTTTATGCCATCTGGACATGATAGTTGATGTAGCTTAGAAAGTGTTCTCAGCAATAGCAATAGCAAAGGAAGAGAACAGTCCTAGGCCTTATTTATTTATTATATTTATATCCCACCTTTCTCGCCTTGTGGAACTCAAGGTGGCTACATATGGTTCCCAGGTGGTCTCCCCTCCAAGCTCAGG